TTTCCAATTTCTTCCAATTACTTCAAAATTACCAGAAATGCAACCTTCCTATACCTGATATTTTGCAGATGCATTGGGGTGTCAAATGATTCAAAATTATGGGAACCACATTCATAATAAAAGCCGTGGTGGTGCAGTGATTAGAATGTTTGATTCTTACGGCTTATGGTTGACTCAACCTTTTATGCTTCTAAGATTGGTAAAATGAGGACTCAAGATTTTGGGGGGTGACTCTGAAAACTGCTTAGGGCTGTAAAGCACTATGAAGTGGTATATAAGTCTAAGTGATATTGCTGTAATATCTCTTTAGTGTGCAGCCTGTCCTGTCCTGCTATTTATTTAAATTATATTCCATCTTTTTATAAACAACTCCTTATTTTCTTATTTCTTATTTTCTCCACAGCAACCACCCTGTATTATAATATTCAGAATTATTATAATACTCAGAATTATTATAACATTCAGTTGGCAGATAGACACGCATGCTTATTTCAGTACAGATATAACACTCTTTGGCAAGAGGCAATAGAACAGGAGTTGCTAGATTAATCTCCTATGCCACTCCTATGTTGAATCCAAATGTATGCAAGAAGAACTGAGTGACAAGAGCAGATTATCTGAGAAGTATAACTAGCTGTCTATGTCCGTCTGTTACCTTATATAGCACACTAGAGAGAAAGGAACCAGTCTTAAGCAAGCATGTATAATTCTGGGGGCCTGCAAGGACTATTACACTCTCTTCACCAAATATGCCTTCTCAAGCCTTCCTGAAAGTCTTGTGTACCAAGACTGCTTTATATACAAAACAGCAATATTGTCATAACACAGGTAAGGACCAATTACTCCAAATTATGGCAATAAGCAAAAAAGCTTTTCTGTTCCCAGGCAACCACGACATCTTTATAAATTTTAGCATAAATATTGAAAGGATACTGTCATGGCTGGGAAACTGCTGTGAAAAATTGCTAAACTTGTCACTTGGAGATGTACAAGCAGATCAGATATCTGTTGTAAAGATTTCAATAAACGTCATTAATGGAGCCTGATCACAGACTGCTTTGGTTAGGTCACTGTTCATAAACAAACAAATACATTATTCAGCAGCTTTGCTGCTTCTTACCGTTTTAAGTTTATTTTTTAATTAGTTTTCTCTTGCCTAGTTTTTCTTTATTTAGTGCAAAACCATATCTGGTGTAAAGGTTTCACTGTTATATTTTCTTATCTTATTTCAGTCTTGAAAAGGTATGTTTGTTTTGGAAGCAGCAAGGATGAAAAGAGGAATGGATGCTTAGCCTTGGTGTCCCTTTCTTTGCTCCTAATCCTAGACTGCGTATGAAGCACAGCCTCCCCTTTTGAATCCATCTTTAAAAGCCAGCTAAGCAAAACAGATGGAAAGGCAGCAGGGCAGGATACATGTGCCCAGCTCTTGCCAACTGTCATCTGAGGCAACAACCACCTTAATGGCAAAATTGTTCCTCTCTCCATCTTTCCCTTACAGGGTGGAATACCAAAAAATCCTCGGTAATAAGCAACTTTGGCAAAATACAGCAAAAAAATTAAATAAATAACCCACTACCAGCCTCCAATATGCTGACTAAGCTCACAATTAGAACAATTGAAACCAGGAAAATAATGAGGAAATATTACAAGAAAATAATTTCCTTGAACTTTTGCCCTTATTAAAACCTGCAATCTTTTAAAAATAAACTGAACTGATATTGAAATTATAGGTCAATTGATTAAATGGTTGGAGAATTATAGATATGCCATGCATAGTACATGCTATACACAGGTATCTGCCATGAACTAAATAATGTCAAGTCCTGGCTTCAAGAAAACTGTAATAATTCTTTTAGTACTCAGATGAACATTTTGATTCACTGCTGTAATATTAGTGATTTTTCAGAATTTACTGGATATTTTAAGCAAGGCACATAGACAATCCACGAATTCTTAAGGGAGAAGGAACAACTTTCACAGTAATGGGTACTTTAATCCATTATGGTGACATTAAAAGCAATTATTTTCTATATTGACTGTTAACATCCAATAAAAGAGTTATTCCTGTGGCATTGCTCAAGCAAAGTAACATCAATTATGGGGGTTGCATTCTGGGTAATTTCCAAACATAGGTTATATAAACCTCATTTTACAAGGTCCTTGTTTAGCAATTGCTGGCTGTTACAATGGTGAGGATGAGAAAATAAGTAACTTTATAACCGATAGTCACATTTACAACTTTAACAGATCTATAAAAGCGAAGTTGAAATAAGATCATAACTTAGCCGCAGTTTTATTTAATTATTGATTTGCTTAACTACCAAATTGTCTTTCCCAATTGGGATTTCCAAATGAGGACCTTATGTATTTCCTTTATGCTTCTTATAGTTCTCTTTCCCACTTCATTACTATTAACTCCTGGAGGTTCTTAGCTGTTATTTGTCTTCTTTTTTTAAAAAAAGTCTCCTAATCTTTCAGCACTTGCAGAAATCAAAGTTACTGAACAAGCTTTCTTTAAAGCCAGGACAGTTCCTTTGCACGTTCATGAAACAAAACTCAAATTATGCAAGTTCATTAAAAAGCAAGGAAAGGTAGGTATATAGCATAATCAAGTGGTGGAGACTGATGGTTGCCTACTTCTACAGACTCATGTCCCTAGTACATCTTCAACCCAATTAAGAAAATCTTAAACAGTTCCATAAGTAATTAATGCTTATCCAAGATAATGCTGTGCCATCACAGATGTGATCTCTCCAGGCACACTTGCTAGCTATCAGATGGAGAGAGCTTTTCTATTTCTGTTATGTACAATTCCATGCATGTCAGTCTGATTAGGCTCATTATCCTCTGAAACAGTTCAACTCTCCAAATTGTAGGAATATATGTGGAATGTGTCAAGTAAAAGGAGTTTCACATGCAGATAGATGTCTACTTAGAACCATTCGTTTAACAACTGTTCAGTTACTATGGAGATGAAAAGTTACTTACAACCAGTCCTTGCACTTACAACCATCAGAGTGTCTTTTGCAGAATTCACACAATCAAAATCCAGGCACTTGGCAACTAGCATGTATTTATGGCAGTTGCAGTGCCTCAGGGTCATGTGATTTGTGACTTTCCCAAGGGGCTTCTGACAAGCAAGTCAATGGGAAAGCCAAATTCACTTAACAACCATGTGATCTGCTTAGCAACCATAGCAAAAAAAAAAAAAAGCTGTAAAGTTATATCTGATTCACTTAATGAACATTTCCTTAGCAATGGAAGTCCCAGTCCCAGTTGAGAACTATCTGTATGTGCATATCACAGAGTGTATTATTGCAGAAAATGCTAGTGGAAATATAAGGAAATACAACTACTGTATCACAGTAAAATAGAGTCTTCAATACATTTTCGCAAACAGAATCCAGATGTTTACATATTTTTACAAGTGCAATATTGGACTATACATATGATTGCTAAAATCCATTGTTTCATCATATGATATAAAACTTTAAAATTGATGCAAACTAATCTGGATTTATAAAGAATAAATTAAAATATGTGTCTGCAGTAATACACTTATCAGACAAAGGCAAATATATTAGATAGCCAATTCTCAGGAACAATTTATCTTAAATGGAGACCAAACAGAATGTTTATACTTCTTCTTCAAGCCATCTATATCTCCTGCTCTCTACTTGCCTTTCTCATTAAGAATGTAGTTTGGAATGGTTAAGTTTTGGTTTTTCCCTTTATCTCACCCACCTCCTAATTTCTTTGTGTTGTTTCTTTGAAGAGCTTTGCCCTGCCTCCCATCACACACTCTTTTTTTAAGAGAACTTGAAGCAGCATATTCTTTTTACATTCTCTTTTCAGTTCTAGCATTTCCATTAGGAAAGCATATTCGCTTGGTATTTCTAACCAACTATTTCAGTGCCTCATACCACTATGCCTGATACTTAGAATCATAACTCATTTTGAAGAACAGATCTCAAACAATACATTTGAAAAAAATCTGTAACTTGCAAGCTTTAAAATGAAAAGAGGGGGAAGCATTTTCTATTTTTTTTTTTGACAACAAATCAACTGAAATGATCTTCAGATGATCCATGCTGGCTAGCAGCTTCAAAAATTTCATTTATGTTATGTTACCAGAGAAAGGATGAGAATTTTGGAGGCCATCAAGTCTGCAGTGCTCGATTTAATGTAAGAGATCCAGAAATACTTGTCCAACAGATAGCTGTTTTATCGAGAAGGGGGGCAGGGGTGGAGAGCAGAGAGATGCATCTTCTGTGGTAATTGGCAGCATAGTTGAACAGTTGCTACCGCTATAAAGTGACCCCCCCCCCCAACAACCTTGCCCAAACCTGCGCAAGAGGCTTCGGATATTGGCAGAATATCTGCCATCCAGCTTCACCTTTCTATCTCCTCTCTCCCCAAACTTAATAGTGCCCACTTCAATTTCACCTTATAGGCTTTGACCTAGCGGCTGATCTTTACACTTCTAAATTTTTAACTTATTTGTACGATCTTCCCTCACTGCGATGTACCCACTCGGTTCCGCAGGAGTCTTCGGAGGAGTTATTATTTCAAATGACTTCGATAATAAGATGGTCCTAATTCAAAGTAATTATTAGCTTTTCTATTTCTCCTGCATCGAACTGCTGACTCACGTCAAGCTTTTGATCAACTCTATTTATATCCCGACCTGTCCAGAATTGGTGTCTCTGATCTGCAACTTTACGCTGACACGTTAGCTGTGTTTACATGACGGCTTGAACCACAAATTAACAAATTAAACACAGCTGTTATACACTAACTAATCCAGCCGGTTAATTTATGGCTCGTCGCCGGGTTATGAAAATGCAGAAAGCTGATTGGAACACAACACGAACAAGTTAAGCATAAGCGAGTACTGTGAACACAGGCCACTTGCTATGCTTTGCCACTTGCAAGGCTTTGCGCGCGAGCGGCTTCGCTGGTAAACTTTCTTTAACTAACTGCACTTCCCGCTTCCTTACCGGCCGCTATGACAATCAAGTAAAGGAGGGAAGGTGCCCTGCCACCTTCAGGAGACATAGTCGTGCCAATTCCCCGGCTGGAGCTGAAGTCCTGGAACGGCAAGGTGTCCTTGCTGGCTTCCGAATCGCTTTCTTGCGCGGTTTTGAGAGAGGCGGGCAAAGATCCTATCACCCGAAGTGTGAGCACTTCCTCTGATCACTTCAAGAAGCGCGTTTTTTCTTTCGTCCAGGACTGCAGCAATGAAACGCCTCCCTCGCTGGGTCTCAGTCCACCGCCCACTGCCACTTTCCGCCCTTCGCGGCTACCGCCGCCGCCCGCGCTCTGTTCCAGGGCGGCCTCTGCTGGACGGTGCGAACAGATTTAGCAAGTGCCCAAAGGTCTAACCAGGCATTGCCCGTCTCTAGTCGGGAGAATAGGTGGTCATCATAAAGCCCTGCCACTTGTTCCGGCTGATTACGTCTTCGTATTTTCGGGTTGCAGAGTTTCATCCCCCGTCCCCTTCAGCCGGCTTCGTAATACAATATAGTAATATAATTACCTGGCCTAGTTTTGAAAATATTTTTGTCAGTTGTCTCAACTTTTCACTATCATAAATAAATGAATTAAAGTTGGTATATTACAGTTTATTAAGCCTATATGCAAATAAAAATAACAAGTAAGCATTTGTAATGTGATATTGAAGACCTTTGTCTTTGCAAGATTCGGCTTGCAAATGATGCCTGCAACAGATTTCTCTTCCTTTGCTGAAAGCGGGGTTGATTGCACAGCTTTGATTGCTCCAAATTTCTATAATATCAAAAATTTATTTTGCAAGCTTATACAAAAAGATTAGTATTTTCCAATTTGATAGCTTACAAATTATAACTAATATCAGACTTGTAAAGCATGAGCATATAGCATCCCAGAGTGTTTTCACACATATTCATTTGCATGCCTGCTGGTGTCTTTTGAAGATGGCAACTATATTAGCTCTTTTCCAGTCCTCTGGTTGTTCCCAGGTGTTCCAGGATCTTTGAAATATATGGTTCAGTGGTTTTGAGATCATGTCAATTCCCTCAGAAATTTGGGCTTGCTTTGGTTTAGACCAACCATAAAAATAAGATTCTTATTATTACTTTTGAAAACTGCCCTTTGGCATTTGTATACAAACTTGTGTCTTCGTGGAATTCACATTGACTCTTGTCTCCCCACAACATGCTGGACATTGGGAAAGATCAGCAACTGAATAGCTGCAAAAATAGTATGTTTCATGTTGTGGGCCCAGCTGCAGGTTAAATGTCTTATTTATTTACAAGTTTATAGAATCAGAAACACTCTAAGCTGCTATCAAAACTTACATATAATGCAATACAAAACAATATAACATGTATTTATAGAATTTATACAGCTGGCCAACTCAAACATTGCAGTCCTGGGTAGTGTACAATAAATCAAAAACAGAACAAGATAAAACCCAACCAGATATCAAGAGGCACCCAATGACTCACATTCCTCTATCTCCCCTCAGGATAAGAAACCCAGCACTCCTAACCATAACACTGGAGGAAAAATGATTTTCTGAAGGGCAACAGAGTGGGGTGGGGGCAGGGAGGGGGGGCAACTGAAGTCACTCTATCTCTATCTCCCTCCCTCCCTCCTTCCCCCCTCCCTCTGTATATATGTGTGTGTTATAGTAGTATAAATTAATTTAAATGAATGCTGAAAGTTTTTTCCAAAGCAGAAGGACTACAGAGAATGCCTACCATGGCTCCTGGTAAGGTAAGTGGGACTTTTCCAAATTGATTGGGAACAATAGGCAGAAACTGTTGAAGAAAAATGGCTCCTAGGAGATCTAGATCCTAAACCATATAGGAATTTGTTGATAGTGCACCTTGAATTGCACTCAGAAACATAACATTTAATTTAATTTTTATTTATATTACATTGTATTAAATTTGAAAGCTGCCCAGCTTCATTACAAATCTGGGCAGAGTACCACATTCAAAATTTAAAACAGAACAGTCCACACAATACAGTATATATATATAAATGTCCAGAGAAAATGGCAGACACAATATCCAAGACCCGTCCCCAGTCAAAGGCTTAGGAAACAACTAGTTCTTAAGGGTTCATTTTAATATCAACAGGGTAGAGGCTGCATAAATCTCTGGGCGAGATACTGTCCAAGAGGGGCAGGCACTCGTATCCAGTCAGCTGGCATTGTTTAATTGATGGGTTCCAGAGGATGCTGGTTTTGCTGGATCATATAAGATTGGTAGCATCTCCTGGAAGACAGGAGGTCCTCAAGTAACCAATTCCTATGCCATAAAGGGCTTTATTTAGAGTGGATAACTCTTGAATTTTACTTATTAAATTTATAGTCACCCATTTCACCATCCAAAATGACACTTGAGTGCTGTGGATGCCACATGAAAATGGGATGAGCTTTTGCATGTTTTTCGGGGGCTCTGGTAGCTGTGCAAGAGTGGGATGACCTCTCACATGGCCTCTGCACTCTCTGAAAGTTGTGTTAGAGCAGGAGTGTCAAACTCAATTTCATTAAGGGCCGCATCGGGTGGGGGGGGGCATGACTAGCTCGTCACTTTTGTTGGGGATGGCTTGAACGCTCCGCCAGCGAAAATGGGCTCCTGAGCTCCATTTTTGCTGGCAGAGGGTTGCAGGAGGCTGTTGCAGCCAAAATCAGAGCTTGTCCTCCTGCAGCCCTCCCGAGCTCTGTTTTCACTGGCAGTCCTTCATTGTTTCTAGGGCAACCCCATAGGCCAGATCTAAGCACCCCATGGGCCAGATCTGACACTCCTGTGCTAGAGAGTCATGCATTTGCAAAAAAAAGCACGTAAGCAGAAGATTTTGTAGAGATTTGGCAGCTGCAGAGCCCGCAGAGGAGTATTCTCTGAAGGCACTTCAAAAACAAAGACCTTGTGCAATTTGGAGCAGCCTTAGGTAGGTCTGTCAATGGAAAGAGAACATTACCTGAAAATAAGTGGCATGCACATCCTCGGGAGCACTGTGCCATTGGGGGGAGGCAGTAGTACCGTTCCTCAAGATTTGAATGCCTTGAAGAGTAGCACAAGGTGGGCTTTTTGAATGACACCTGTGGCTCTAGAGAGGAAATTGCGGCCTGAGCACCTACTTCAGGCTCAACTTCAGTGCTGCCACTGTATGCTGCTGTTCAGGGTGGCCTAAATGGAGATTAGATAGAGAATTGTTTCTGTTTTGTTTGGGGGTGCAGGTTATGATATGTCAGTTTTTTTACAAAACATTTTCCGTATTTTTTTATCCAAAAGGTTCAGGTGCTGACTTTCATAGCATCTCCCAATATCCTGAGTGAAAGACGTATAACTAAATATCTCACTTTTTAAAGATATTATGCTTATATAATTGGTCCTCTTACATTTGTAAGAATATAAAAAACAATAGTATAAAAATCTATAATATAAAATTGCCATTATGAATGTTGCTGCTATTCATCTATTTGAATCATATGATTTCATGATTGTCACTTTAAAAACCAAGGGTATTTCAGGATGAAGTCACGTTTTTATTTTTTTGAAACCCGGTCTTTCTCAACCTCATTAATTTAACATGTAAGGACTTCAACTTCCAGCATAGCGTTGGCTGAGCAATTCTGGGAACTGAAGTCCATGCATCTTAAAGTTGCTGAGGTTAACCTAATCAAAAGGAACATTGAAAAGAAACTATATAAAATGCCTCAGGAACTCTGGGATTCCATCTCTCTATCAGCTAGCAGGATAATCTCAGAAAACAAGGAGAACTGATCCACTTTGAAATATATGAAGAACCAACCAAAGAAAGATCAAATTAAAATAGAGAAAACTCTCAAGATAATGCCTGTGGGAGAGAGGCAGTTAGTTGCTCCATTCTACCGTCATCATCATTCTCCTCCTGGTTACATGCTGCAGACTAAGAGCATATACAATCTGCTCATAAACACCTGCAGATATAACACAAGAGGAAAGCAGAAACATACACAGATGCAATATATTATTTTGGTGCACTGAACAAAACATAGATACTCCCTATACCACTGCTGATAAGAGTGAAAGAATTCCATAAGCTGTGCTGTGCATGTTGCTCCACCTTAGTTTTTAAGAATATGTTGAAAGATGAGTTAAGATCTGAGAGAGCCTCAAAGTATAAAAACAGCAAGTTGGCCTTGTGCTCAGTGTCAGCAATGTGCAAAGATAAATTGCTGCTGAAAGACTGATGGAAAATGGATGCATAGACATCAAGCTTTAACATACTTACACATTTAATAAGATAGTCCTCAACTTACAACCACAACTGAGCTTAAAATTTATGTTGCTAAGCGAGAATTTGTTAAGTGAGTTTTGCCTCCATTTTATCACATTTCTAAATGAATTACCACAATTGATAAGTTAGTAACCTGGTTGTTAAGTGAATCTGATTTCCCCCTTGAATTCGCATGTCAGGAAGTTGCAAAAGGTGATCACATGGTCCCAGGACACAGCAATGGTCCTAAATATGAATCAGTTGCCAAGCATCTGAATTTTGGTCATAGGATCATTGGAATGCTGCAAAGGTTGTAAATACGAAAAACGGTCATGAGTCACTTTTTCAGTGCCATTATAACTTTGAACGGTGACTAAATGAACTTTTAAGTCAAGGATTACCTGTAGTGTAACAAAATTTTACAATAATAACATGTTCAGACAACCTTCATACTGTGATAACAAGCTAAAATCTCACATATTGCTAACTTGCACAGTCGATGGTATCATTCTATCCACATCATCATAAGCCCCACAAAATTAAATGGGCCTTATTCTTAGACATATGTCCCAACCCAGGGGTGGGATTCAAATTTCTTAACAAAGAGTTCTGTGGGTGTGGCCTAATTTGTGGATGTGGCTTTGGTGGTCATGGGCCTGGTGGGCAAGGCTTGTATGTAGATATTGCATAATTACATAAATACTGAATTTTTTATATAAAAAAGAGCAACTTTTATCCAAAATCAGGCAAAGCAGACGGGCAGATTGAGTTGCTCATAGAATCACAGATTCACTCAGAGATCTACCTTTCTGTAATCTATTGCCTGAGTCTACATTGAAAAATAAAAGCTAGGAAGGTTCAGCTCTGCTTTTAGATTAGCTAGAAAGCAAGAAATCCAATGACTTCCTGCTTTCTAGCTAATCTAAATATCCCATCAGAGCTGATAGTCGGAACAGCTCATGGTCGGGGAGGGGAAAGGAAAAATAGGAACTTACCCAAAATTAGGTGATGGCACAAGGCAGGCAAGTTGGA